GGATTTGCCTTCCGACTGATCAAATGCCAGCCGAGGCATGAAGAATGTCAAGCCAGTGGCAAAAGTTGTGGCCTAATTTCCGTCAATGTTGCAGAAGCTTCAACAGTTGTAAGCACGGTAAATGTAATGCGGAAGTGGCGCCGACTCTGCCACCTGTGCACTTTGCCAGTCCTGCCAGCAGACATAGCATAGGACTGATGGATGTAGCTTTCTCATCCCTCCTCACCACAGTCACACCGCTGCTTCGACGGAGAAGTAAGCTAATGGTTGCATAAGAGCACGCAATATTTCATTCCTTTCCATTTAATCTTCTGCTTAGAATGGAAAATATTGCAGTGAGCTGTCTGTGGTAGTCATATTCCCTCACTTGCATAGCCTTCCCACTTTCACTAAACTCAACTGCTATACATCATACTTTTCATTTCAAAAAAGGCATTTTGCATGAGTGGCATTTCATTTCATAAAATGTGGCCTGAGACATAGAGAAGAACATCCCACTAGGAGGAAGTGGTAAGCAGACTACCAAGCATGCATTGACGTCTGATGAAGCAATTCGTGCACCTGCCTTCCCACTGATCAAATGCCAGCCGAGGCATGAGGAATGTCAAGCCAGTAGCAAAAGTTGTGGCTTGATATTATGCAATGCAGCAGACGGTTCAACAGTTGATACACTGCATGCGCAAGGGGCGCCGAGTTGCCTTCTAGTGTTGAAATTCAACTTCCTTGTGATTATTTCTCGTTCAGTTGCCAGTATCAATCGTGTCACCCCAGGAGTGAACTCGGTGGAGGGGAATGCGACGACCACCAGGCAAGCTCCGACAGCTGACAAAGCGACGACACCAGTGGCTCCTACAATGGGATCGGAGCACAGGGCGATGACTCCGGGCCAGTCAAGTGGTGGAATACGAAAACACGGACGCATAGAGGGAGGAATAAATGAAAGAATAGAGGATAGATGATGCATGGTAGGAAAGGATATGGATGGAGAGATGAAAGGTTAAATGAACTAAGGGTGAGATTAAAAGATGGATAAATGCGATCATCATCATCACCTTCGCCTTGCCTTCACTTCATGCCTTTCGTGATCCACTTCATTTTCTACTGTCTGTGGCCTTCAGCCTGCTTATACCTGCCCTCCTCTCAGTAACATCTGCAGTCTCCAACGTCTTACTTTCCATCATCGCACACGTCGTCTCTTATGTCAGTATTAGCATGGGGAGGAATCGAGCTGGAATGCATGTAGAGGAGAGGAGAGGTGTGTGCATGTAGAGATGCAAAATGCTAAGCAGATGTATGCGCTTCCTGTATAAGCGTAATTCATCTGTGCATTGTAGCTAGCCACGAATTGGCATCAGCACCGATGCCATCACTCCACCCACATCCACCCACCTCCAACTCCAACTCCAACTCTTACCAATGCCCACTTCACAACTACTCTCTCACCCCAACTCACTCATCATTATTCGCGTAGCATTGCCCCACACTCCACCCACCCACGTAGTACAGAAATTCATCCAGTAAAATACTTTATTTAATGGATACCAGATGAACTTGACTAAGTCAAGGCAACAATTGTAATTACACGGTGTGCGAACCAGGAAATGCGAGCCTCGTACCCACAGAATGTAGTTGCCCCCGCTTGCCGCCTGTGCTGCCGGCGTCCTTGCCTTCTCTATCCTTCTGCTCATCTGCTTTATACCCTACTTTCTTATGCCTTCCACTCGACATGCGCACACCCATGTGATGCATTCCATTGGAGAGGAGTTCGGGTTTGGCGCTGCACCAAGCGATGAAGAGGATGAGAGAGAGGGTGACAAAGGTGAGTGCAGTCTTCATCTCTACGCTTCAGATGGAGAAGCTGCACTGATTTTGCCTCCCATATAGGAGGCAGTGGCCTTGACCAATTGTGTGAGACGATGGCACCAATTGCTGGGAGAGTGACAAATTGGCAGTTGTGAGTGATTTCAAATGCAGTGCAATGCAGCGTGATGAAAGATGAGTTGGTAAATGGAGGAATAGAAGAAGGCGAGGGGAGTGATTAAATGGTCTGATGGATAGATGGACAGGTGAAAGGATTGTTGCATGGAGGACTAAATGGACGCGGTGTGAAAGGAATATATGAAGGAAAGGATGGAAAGCGGACGCATGGTACAATGGATATGGATGGAGAGATGAGAATTTAAATAAAGTGAGGGAGGGATCAATGGATGAATAGAATGACAGAGTAATGGACGAAGCAATTGTGGACGAGTGAAAGACAGTATGGATAGATCGATGAATGGATGGATAAGTGATGGATACATAGATTGATGTTGTGATGGATAAAACGGTGCCACGTAATTAACCAGC